GAAAAACGCATATTGACGAGAGGTTGTCTGTGTGTCCGTGTGTCTGTGTGTCTGTGCGTCTGTGTATGCGCCTGTCACGCACTTTTATCTCAGGACCTATAAAAACTGCGGGGCTGAAATTTCGGGAACTTGATCTACATGCATGTGCCGGCTCCAATCCCCAAAATGGGCGCCAAAACCTGCGTGGTTCCCGCGTACGGGCCCGCCAAAGTTTTTTTGGTCCCATCCCCAAAATTGGCGCCAAAACCCGCGTGGTACCCGCGTACGGACCCCCCAAAGTTTTTTGGGACTCCCCAAAATTGGCGCCAAAACCCGCGTGGTACCCGCGTACGGACCCCCCAAAGTTTTTTTGGGGCCCCAAAATTGGCGCCAAAACCCGCGTGGTACCCGCGTACAGGCCCGCCAAAGTTTTTTTGGGATCAGTTCATAACTCGAGGATCTGAAAAGCTAGAAGGCTGAAATCTTGGGGGGACCAGCTCATAACTCGAGGATCTGAGAAGCTAGAAGGCTGAAATCTTGGGGTAATGTTCCTCGCCCAAGCGGGTCATAACTCGACCCCAATCCCTAAAATGGGCGCCAAAACCCGCGTAGTACCCGCGTACGGACCCCCCAAAGTTTTTTCGGGGTCAGCTCATAACTCGAGGATCTGAGAAGCTAGAAGGCTGAAATCTTGGGGTAATGTTCCCCGCCCAAGCAGCTATTAGTGGGCTCAAACTCAGCCCCCGGGTAAGCGTGGTACCTCCGTACGAGCCCGCCAAAATTTTTTTCGGGTAAGTTCTAACTCGGGGTTCTGAGATGCTAGAAAGCTGAAATTTTAGGGGAATGTTCTCTGTCCAAGCAGGTGCTAATGAGCTCAAATCCAGCCCCCGGGTAAGCGTGGTACCTCCGTACGAGCCCGCCAAAATTTTTTTCGGGTAAGTTCTAACTCGGGGTTCTGAGATGCTAGAAAGCTGAAATTTTAGGGGAATGTTCTCTGTCCAAGCAGGTGCTAATGAGCTCAAATCCAGTCCCCGGGTAAGCGTGGTACTCGCGTACGGGTCCCCCAAAGTTTTCCCGCGCAAATTCATAACTCGGGGAACTAAGAAGCTAGAAGGCTGAAATCTTGAAGTAATGTTCCTAGCCCAAGCGGGTATTAGTGGGTTCAAACCTAATCCCCGCGTAAGCGTGGTACCCGCGTATGAGCCCGCCAAATTTTTTTTCGG